TCGAGCTGTAGAAAAATTTGTTCTACATGTCTAGTCTATGTGTTCTCTGGTCAGTGCAGTTACTTAGCATAACAAAATGATAGTTACTTTGGCGTTGCCAGACTGTAACTATTATTATTGTAATTTTTATAATGAATGTACAAAATATCTAGGGTAGCCATCCGTCCAGGAATTCCGGGACATGTCCCCCTTTGGGAGGTAATGTCCCGGTGTTCCGACCTGACACGAAATTGTCCCGGTTTTCTACTGTTTCGATAAAAATGTCTGCATTTTAATAAAATGCGACTCAAAAGAACAAATGCGCAATTTCAGAAAAGCAGCGCAGATAAGCTGGTAGTGTTTATTGCAGCAAGTGTAAACTCTTGCAGTTACTCAGATGTATCAAAAATAGGACAATTTTTCCATGCTATCCATAATGCGAATTGCGAAAGGGTTTTTTCCTTAATGAATTTGCACTGGACAGACGGCAGTAGTTGAAAATGTTAGAAACATGCAAAGAAAAAATGCAAATGCTTTGAAAAAAATAGTGATAATATGGTGAACTAATTACTTAATTAATCAACATATTAATTAATTATCAATGTTAGTTTCTTACATTTTATTACGCTTTAATAATATGTTAAATATATCAGTCAGTATATATATACATACATAAAAATACATAGAGTACCACTGGTCAATGATAGTACATACATATGTACATAGGTACATATGTACATATGTACTCCTTCAGATTTTAGTATTTACGAACTTGTAGCAGGACTCAGTTTTACCGGTGCTGCCGGTGGAGTCAATGAAAAGATCTTCTTGGCAGTTTACTACAAAAAATCAACAAGACTAAGCACATTCAGTATTTTGTTTTTATTTGTTTATTTTGTTTTTTTATTGTTTTACTATTTATGGTTTATTGTTTTATTAATTTTGCCAATACATTAATTAAAAAAAAAAAAATAATATCGTTTTATTCGATATAAATAGATTTTAGGCCATCTCTAGTGTCGATGACAAACAACTTTATAAGAAAAAGAGAGCAAGGCAAAAGTTGAAGAGACCGATTAAGTCCAAAATAAAAAAGCATTTGTAAAATGATTATTACAATAAAAAATCTACAGCAGCAAACGTTCACTATTGACTTTGATCCAGAAAAAACGGTAAATTGTATTTTCTTAGCGCATGCATCAGTTCTGACATACATATGTATATGTCCATACACACGCATGCTTACAAATGTGCATACATAGTACATACCTACAAGTATATTATCTGCTTTTTAGGTTTTGGAGCTTAAAAATCAAATCTTTTACGAACGTGGTGCAGAATACCTTGTGGAGAAACAAAAACTGATTTATGCTGGTAGGATATCCTAACTAAATAGTTGTTTGAGAACAAAAAGTTTATATATGTACATATATACACGTCCGTAAATATGTCAATGTTGTGTCATTTTTTTTTAAGGCGTCATTTTAACAGATGAGCGAACAATTAGTTCCTACAAAGTCGATGAAAAAAAGTTCATTGTAGTGATGCTCAGTCGCGACATAAGCGGAACTAGCAGCAGCACCAACACAAATGCAGATGGACAGCGAAAGCAGCCCAATGAGCAAATGGAAAATTTAACAATTGGAATTAATAAGAAGCCTGTTCTACAAAACGCGAATGCATCCTCAAATGAGAAAGGAATAAACAAAAATAAAATGTCAAGTGATGTTTTGGGAGTCGAGGTAGAATGTACCGGATCTGGATCTTCATCTCAAACTCAAGTATCGACTGCAGCTGCATCTCCAATTCCAGCTGTTTCCACGGCTATCACTACTGATTATTCTAGCATTGACTTGGTAGGTGAACTAGCCAATGCCTCACTACAATCGCGCGCCGAATCCAATTTACTTATGGGCGAGGAGTTTAATAGAACCGTTGCGTCAATGGTTGAAATGGGCTATCCCCGAGAGCAGGTTGAGCGAGCAATGGCAGCTAGTTTTAATAATCCTGAGCGTGCTGTCGAATATTTAATTAACGGCATTCCGCAGGATGAGAATTTATTTAATCCAGGTGATGAGGAAGAACCTAACAGAGTGGAAACGGGTCATCGCCAAGGTGATTTGCCGGCCGAATCGGCAGCTGGTAAAAAAAAATCATATTCAGATATATTGTTATGATACCTATGAACCTATATTCTAGATCCATTCGAGTTTCTACGCAGTCAGCCACAATTCCTACAGATGCGCTCTCTAATATACCAAAATCCACATCTTTTACATGCTGTTCTGCAACAGGTATTGAACAGTTAGAAACATCTGCAGCTATGTATTTTAACAGCTATGTATTTTTCTTATCCTAATTTAGATTGGACAAACAAATCCAGCTCTATTACAACTTATTTCTGAGAACCAAGATGCGTTCCTAAATATGTTGAACCAGCCTCTTGATGAGGAGACAGGCGATAATGCTCAACGTACTGGTCGGACACAGTCATCGAATCCAAGACGAACAGAGAGCACGACCACAACCAACTCCAATGATGGAGGTCATCGTTCTGTTGCTATTTCCGATAATCCGTCGATTGCAATCGGCCCTGAAAGCGATGATTCAGTTACAACGGCAAGAAATATAGGGACAGAAAACTTAGCAACTATTCGACTAACCCCGCAAGATCAAGACGCTATCGAACGGGTACGTATAATATATTGGAAAGTAATTCTCAATACTTAAGTGTATTGGAGTGCAAAATATGTTGCATACTCAATTTACATCTAAATATATCTGTATATTAAAAATAATACATACGTTAATGATACATATATTCTTCCAGCTGAAGGCGCTTGGATTCCCGGAAGCGCTAGTTTTGCAAGCTTATTTTGCATGTGAAAAGGATGAAGAACTCGCTGCTAACTTCTTACTTTCATCCAGTTTTGATGATTAAATATATATATATATATATATATATATATATATA